GCAGCCAAATGCTTAACCACTGTGACATCAGGGCAGTACAAATTAAAACCACAGTGAGATACCACTTCACACCTTCTAGGATAGTTATAATAATAATAAGAAGAAGATAAGATATTGAGAAACTGGAACCTTCATACATTGTTGGTGGGAATGTTAGAGGGTACAGCCACTTGGGACAACAGTTTGGCAATTTCTCAAGAAGTTACATATAAATTTTTCATACAATCTGCAACTCTACATTTTGGTATCTACCCAAGAGACATGAAAGATATGTGCACACAATGACTAGTAAATGAATGTTTTTAGCAGCGTTGGTCATAAATAGCCAAAAGTGGAAAACATCTAAATGTCTATTAAATGTTGAAAGGAAACAATCGATGTGGTATATTAAGACACTGAAATATTACTTAGCAGTAAAAAGAAAGAAATGGATGACCCACATGCTAAAATATGGGTGAACCTAAGAAAATATGCCAAGTGAAAAACAGCTTAGACATCGAAAGATCCATCTGTACAAAGTGCCAGAAAACAAACCAACCAACACAAACCAAATCTATAGAGACATAAAGAAAATCAGTAGTTTCCTGGAGCTGGGAATGAGAGTAGAAATGGGGATTGACTACTGATGAGCACAAGGAATGTTTTGGGGCCTTAGAAAGATTCTAAAATTGGATTGTGGTGGTGATGTTTGCATTATTCTGTAAGTTTCCTTAAAATTATAAAATTCTACACTTGCAATGGGTAGATATTATGGTATGCAAATTATACCTCAATAGATGGGTTCAATCTACTGACCTATTGGTTAGCACTCAAATTATACCTCAATAAAAATTATTTAAAAAGAAATGGATTGCCACAATGAGTGAGACTAGTCCTGCAGTTTGTTTAAATTATTTTCTGCCCTTGGTGCCTAGATGTGTGTGTATGTTTCCAGAATATTATATTCTAGACTTGCTAATGGGCATAAGAAAAGAAACAAAAAGATAACATATACCTCAAGACACCTGAGATGAACCCTACAGGTCTCAGTATTCAATGGCATGGTTACTCCAGAAGGAAAGGTCCAAGTTCAGTTCTGTGTACCTTTCTGGCTGCCTTCCAAGGAGCCAGGCTGTGATGAACTTTGCCCTGGGATGATGCTCTTCCTTGTCACTGATTAACTAGATCTGTGGGAAGACTGCTGGGCCAACATCCGGCTCTGCCTGGACAGAGGTATTTGGCCAAGCTTTGGTGAACAGAAAAATGTCTACCCGCTACCACCAAGCTGCTAGTGATAGCTACCTGGAACTTCTGAAAGAGGCTACGAAGAGAGATCTGAATCTTTCTGATGAAGATGGCATGACTCCCACGCTCCTGGCGGCCTACCATGGGAACTTAGAAGCCCTAGAAATCATCTGCAGCAGAGGGTAAGTTCAGCCTGATGGTTTAGATTTGGAACAGTGTCTATG